AGAGCTTCTCCTGAGTATTTCTTTTGCCCAGCATTCAGACCTTGTATTTGACATGAATGTCATGGCCTTTATGAAAAAATCTTGCCCCAAAAGTTCAGGCTCTGTCTTGCACAAGCATAAAATTAAATTATAATGAACACTTCATAAACTAGTAAGCTTACACTGTGTCCTGCTTTTTTTTCCTAAAAATAAAGTCAGGAAAGCAAATACCCATTTGGATGTAAAAGTAGGTTGGAGATAGCTACAGGAGAGATTTCCTGGCCAAACAGAGGTATCTTCTTCATTTGTTGTCAGTTAATTTTCCTTTCATAGAAACACCATAGTTGGGGTCAGCTATAGCAGAAAACAGTTATTGAAATCTGCTTTGTTTTTCAGACAATATGTGATCTTGGTCAGTAACACTCAGGACTTTTATTTCATGCTGTAAAAGCCTAGATGGAAGCTGATTGGGGAGGTAGAAGGCAGATATTTTCCCCAGTTCTGATTTGTTGGTTATTGCATGGCAATCAGCAGATCCCATTCTGCCTTATGATTTCAAAGTGTAATTCTCCTTGAGTGGAGCCTAATCTGTGCTTGAGTGTAATGAATGACCTGTGCCAACACAGGCAGCAGAACTTTACACTGCAAGAAAGAGCCTCCCATGAGCTGTTCAGAGATGCAGTTATTGAAATCAAACACTGAAAGCAATTTTTAAACGCCCAAAGACGGGTTATTCAAACTTTGAAAGCCCAGCTTCACTGCAGTATGGCATAGTCACTGGATGTTGCAGTGTGCTGTGAGAATGCAGAACATTTCCCTGCAACAATCCCATCTCCTGGGCCAACCAGAGGCTCTCCAGTGCACTTGTTTTACAGTGATTTAGGGACTGAGCCCGAGAGCAGCACAAGCTGTGCTTCATTTCATTTCCTGAAGGCACAGACTGAAGCAATATTAGAAGCAGACTGCACTGGCCTGTAGAAAACTCACAGTGTTGGATTTTTTTTTTCCGCTGCTTGCCAAAGCCTCTGACATCAACTTTACCCCAACAGGGAGCCAGAGGAAGGGGAGGGAGGTGCAATGGCAGATGGCAACCCACAAGGAGGCGAGAACTGCATACTGCACTTTGGCACTCCATGACAAAGACAACTTTACAGTAACCTACTTTGCTTATAAATTGAATGAGGATTATTTGCTATTTTCCCCCCCCTCCCACCCCTATGTTTGGTCAGATCACTGCAAGACAGGAAAAAAAAATCTAATTAATTAATTGACTTAGCTCGGGCAAGCTGGATTTCTAATACTGGGAGGACATAAGAGAGCTGATTTTAATATAGTTAAGGCAGACGTTGTGTAATTTCAGCCTTTGATATGGTTTCAATGTGTAGATGAGCTGGGGGACAAATTTGCCTACCCAGTAAAGGAGCAGTGAATTTCTCTGTTACCTGGCCTGAATGCCCCAGAAATCTGCAGAAATTCAACAGAGGTTTTGCTATGCTTTCTGCTTGTCTTTGCCTTCAAACAAAAGTATATTTAATGGAGACAACAGGTAAGGGAAAAGGAAATTTGACTTTCTTGGTGTTTTCTGAAAAGTGATTCTCCTGTCTATTTCTAGCCATTAAAATTAACTTGCTATCTAAATGGATCTTGTCTAAATTAATTGTGCTGTCTCTGTGCAGCATTTCCCCAAGGAATGCACTGAAATACTGTTATGTCTTTGCCTATTCTTGACTGATTGAGATATTAATTAATTATATGAATAAGCTTAGCAAAATAAAAGTAGGTTTTTCTCCTAATTCGAGTGAGTACTGGGCCTAATGCCTCATACATGGTGTTTGGCAGTAGTCACTTTGCTGTGTGACCTTGTGCACCACTGCACAGTGCCCTGTTTGGGTGGGGCAGGTGTGAAGGAGGAAGTTGAGTTGTGCAGGGAGAGGAGACTCATGCCTAGTGTTGTGCACCACGGCTGACTCCCAGCAGGTGCTGTACAGGAGCAGGGCTCTGATGGACACAGGTGCCCTGTCAGGTGCCAGCCACAGGGCTGTCTGTTGTAGTGTGTTCATTAAATTCATTTAATTCCTTCCCCATTTTATGTATCTGCTCCCCCCCATTTTGTGCAAAATGGTTCTGCCCTCCTCAGTTCTCCCGCCACAGCCCTGCCAGTTGTATTGTCAATCTTTTAGGTTATATAATTCCTCCTCCCCTTTTTCCCTTATATGTATGCCTTTTCTCCTCCCTGGGCCAAGTCAATCACCTCCCCCACTCCACCTAGCATTCCAGAAGCTTCTCATCTTTGGGGGTTGTGGTTGGCTGTGGTCCCGGGGCCCCTCCCGTACCTGGTACCTATTGGGCTCTCCACTATGTCATTTGTGTTAAGTTCATCCCCTCTTCCCCCACTATTGGTCTTCTGTAAACCCCTCCTGGGTCCACCCCTTCCCTTTATAACCCTTAAGCACCCTTTGTTCTTGGTCATTCGCTGATGCATCGTGGGCTTTCCAATAAACCAAGTTTAGCCCCCTCAGCGAGTGTCCGGCTCCTTCCTTCTCTTCGTTTAGCAGCGATCCCGTCGGCAACCAGCGCAGCCCGAGGCCTTACGACACCGAGGGGTGCTGGCAGACCATGCAGCGAGGTGTCGGCCTTAACCTCAGTTAGCCGGACTCTGACCTTCTCTGCTCTAGAAGGCTAAATACACGTCGCTGCAGCTGTCATGTGGCTAAAAATGTTTGTCATGCAGCAATCCCGCTGTTGTGGGATTTATTCAGCTCAGTTTTGCATGAGTCACTCAGGCTGGGCTTGGTGCACTAATGCTGCATCCTTGCTCAGTGCTCAGGGCTCAGTCATGACAATCACAGAGGCACAGAGTCATCTAGGTTGGAAAAGACCTCCAGGATCATCGAGTCCAGGTGTTAACCCAGCACCACAGTGCTCACCACTAAGCCATGTCCCTGAGTGACACAGCTACACTTCTTTGGAACGCTTCCAGGCACTGCCCACTCCAGGGCTTTTCTGAGCAGCCTCTTCCAAGGCTTGAAAACACTTTTGGTGAAGAAATTTTTCCTACTATCCAACCTAAATCTAAACCACCTCTGACACAACTTGAGGCCTCTCTCTTCTGCTCCATTGGTTGCTCTTTGTGAGAGTTGGGTGATTACTCAGGTCCAGCTTCCCTGCCCTGCCTGACATAGCTCTATCCTGAGCATGTCGGAGTCTGGCAGAAAGCCTTTGGACAAGCAGGGAGCCCAAGAGCATGAGATGTTGCTTTTTTTGAAATTCATGAAAAAAGAGTACCCATTTCCTCATCTAGCAAATGGAAACATGAATGTTCTGCAGAACGAATATATCTTCATGATTGAAGTGGACATGACGGCTTTGTTTTCTCCTTGGTTGGTTGTTGTTTGCTTATTTTACGAAGCTTCTCCAGGATTTTTAGCTACAAGGAAGAGTTTTCTTACTGACACTTTTATCCTTCCCATGGTGTGGAAAATAAACCCCTGAATCACATAACTTAACTTGCCCCAAAGCTGAGGGGAAGTTGAGTGTACATTTTCTCTGCCACTAGCTTACTTTGAATGTTATGTATCTGCGCATAAAATAAAAAAACTTAGTTGGAACAAGAAACAAGTACTTAGTATTGTTTAAGAATGCTAAAATTGCAGACTTAAGAGTTGCAGTAGCTATTTCATGCTGCTCACCAATAAATGCTTTATACTCCTGTAATATGCCTGTCTCCAGTATGCCTATTTTTAAAAATTTAAACATTTGAAAAACAGAACTTACTTTGTAATTTAGCTTTGGCCTGTAACATTTACATTTCAAAACTCAGACTTGATTTAAAAATAACCATATTCCAGGAAAGTAGGTGTTAAAATTGCTTCTATAGTCTGTCCAAACCTTTTTCTCTGTATGCTCTGTGAACTTGTGTAATTCATATTCAGATGATCATACTGAGAAAGGTTCAAATGTTTGCTTCCCAGAACACGTGGAATTCTTTCAGAAACGGTTGTGATTTACCAAGTCCCTTGGTTTCCTGTCACAGAACTGGTGGAGCCCTGAGCTTGAGGGAGAGAAGTGGGATTTTCTGTGACACCTGAACGTCTCAGGAACACTCAGGCTCTGCTGTTGGCTTCTCTGAACTGAGTGCAGGAAGTTCATTCACTTTGATGCTGTGTAACTATCTCCTTGGTCGCACAGTCATTTTGCTTGAAATGATGAATAATGCCTGGGTAGTGTAAATTCCCTGGGGGCCATAACAGATACTAGAAACTCTGCCAGTGGTGTTGAGGCATTTGGAAAATTATTTTCTTTCCATACTTTATACTGTAAGAACTTCAATACTTGATTGCAAAGGAGTTTGCCTTGAGGGACGGAAAATTTCAGAAGACACAGAGATAGAAGTTTTATAAGTTTTAATCAAGAAATTCTAATAAAGACTGAAGAGATTGATGAACAGGAAAGACATTCTCCTTGTCTGTAGTCTATACAAGATAAAACCAGATTCACATCAGCATTAGCATTCAATATCAATTTTTCATATGCCCTCTACTGACTGTGTCAGGGAGATCCTTCTTTTGGACTCGACACCCCACACCCCATAAGCAGCACTTATTTTTGTGAAGAGCAAAACCATAGTCACATCCTGATGACCCTGAAGCTTTGCTTAGGAGTGCTGTAATTAGAGCTTGTGTCTCTTTACCTTGAGCTTCAAATCTGCTTAGCAAACCTGGAGGCTTGGCTTTAAAGCCAGCATTCATGCTAAGATGCTGTGCTAGCTACACTCATGGATTTGTCAAAACAATCCAACCAACTCTCATAGGAAACCAGAAACAAGAAGGAAAAATTTGGCCAAATTCCTATATCCAAATATTTTTACAGCATGAGAAATTGAACTAATAATGCTTCTGTCTGGTTAACAGCTGTCAAAGGATGAAAAAAAAGCTACTGGGAATGTAGTCAATCACTCACTCCTTTTAATGTGGTGTGAAATCCATAAAGGCATTTATACTGACTCTTAATGTGTTTTACAGAAAAATCACTGGTAGCTGTGTTGAAGAGATGCCAACTTTTAACAAGCAGCGTCTGGTGCTTTCCGGGCCACTCCACGCATGTGCACTGTGCAGAGAACGATGAGCTTGTACTCTGCTTGCTTCTGGGAATCCAGGCTTAGTAACATTCCTTCTCTCCCCCCTCTGCTTGAGGTGGGTCACCAGGACATGAGCTTCATTCACAAAATTACATCCAAGCTTCATCCAGTTCCTCTCTGGCACTGAGTGCAGTTTTCATCCACGTGGAGAACGGGGGCTCCTCTCTTGCACGGGCTGCATCCCACGGACACAGTGGCACACAGGGACACAACCATGGCAAGTCCCACTGATTCCACACAAGCCTGCTATTCTGAGACAACAGAGCAGGTGAATCACTGTTCTCAGGGCTGTGGCCCTCCTTTGTGTGCTGTATTCTCCAGCCAGCAGGCAGTGCTGACAGTGCCGTGCGTGACACAATGGGATATTAATGTGTGTGAAGAGCTCAGTGTTGAACCACACACAGAACAGCCTATATATAGCCAGAGGTAGCAGCTTTCTGAACCAGGGTGGCTATTTTTGTGACCAGTAGCATGGGGGAATGAAAAACTCTGCACAGAGAATGCACTACTCAGGTTGTTGAAGGATTTGTGTTTCCCTCTGGCCCTGCTCTTCACTGGGGTTTATTGGATGGATACAGCTGCATACAGCTGTGGTGGTCACGGTCTGAGGCATCCTCCTCATCCTGCCCCAGAGGAGATATACGGTATCAGGGGGTGCTAATGCAGGGGCTAAAGGCCCCTTTGGTCACCCTCCTTCCCTGGCTCAGCAGCCCATGGCAGGGTTTAGGCTGGTGACTGCTGGGTGGCTGCAGGGATGATCATCATGCCCAGAACACGAAAGGAGAGCCAGTCCCAGGGCTTTCTGCCATTGTTTCAGGTGAAAGCACCTTGTGAAATGTAACTTGTAACACTCCCTTCTTTATATCTCCACCATCAGTTCATCTGACCCCTAAAATCAGGCTGGCCATTAGAGACTAGTCTTGATGGCAGTTCTGCTACCTTGGTCTGCAGACCTGAGTACCTGGATATTTGACAGCTCATTTCCCCTAAGCTCACAACCACTTCAACCTTTGCTGCCCTTTTTTCATGGCACTGGCTCATTTTGTGGTCTGAGGATCACCTGTTATGTTCAATCCAGGCAAAGTTTTTAATTAATATCATGGAGAGATGGGAATGGAAACATAAAGTATCATGTCTATAAACTGCCATACAACCGCCATGCATGAGAATGGTAAAATAATAGAAAAAATACAGAACAGAGTCCTGCTGTTTTCTTTTCTGTTTGTTACCTTTACCTAGTGAACTGTAGAGATGAACTGTTACTATTCCTCAAAACAAACATTTACTCAGTTTTGCAATGTGTCTTTCACATGTGAGTTAAGGCTCTTGTCCACTCTTTCTCATAGCTCCACAGTACAAATTATACAAATACAGACAATAGAGATCCTTAAAGGTGAGATTGCACTCAGAATATCTTCCTGCTGTCCTGTCACACTGAACTCTCCTTTCCAAACTGGGATGTGCACAGGCATAGTCATAACAGGTAGTCCAAAACAGAAAGAAAGTGCCTCAGGATGGCTGTAGGGCAAACACCTGTGCTGTGGTTCCTGTCCAGCCTGATGCCATCAGTGTAACAAAAACTGTGGTTTCAGCTGAGCTCCTTCTATACATTAGTTCAGAGTGCAAAAACCATCCAGCAGAACCAGGACCTGTGGAGGAGATGACCAGGGCTGAACAAGAATGGTGGTTATCTCCTTAAAAAAAAAAAGAAAAGATTGCCTATAAGGCAAACACACACGATACAGCTGCCTGCAGCCTGCTAGGCCAGGAAAACAAATTAGGAACATTGGACTTCTAGTGCCTTGGCTTTCAGAAATGTATCTCCATAATCTCATTTTCTGAATGATTTCTGAATTTATGTACTTCGTAATGTGCAACTACTACTACTAAATACATCATACCAAACCAACACTTATGCTTTCTTTGCTCTATTCATTAATTTTGCTCTTTTAACAGATCAGCTCCCAGCCTCCAGAAATTGCATCTTATGGTAACATTGGGTATTAGTAATGTACAAAATCTGGAGACTTTTCTAATATGCCCCTGCATTCCAGTGTGCTGCTCTTTTATTCAGCTAAACATATTATGGCCTTGTGCTTCTCTCTTTCACTCATGACAGAAAGGAGACATAATTTTGTTTTGTTAATACCTTGTAAAATATTATTTTTCCTACTGGACAACAAGAGCCCTGAGCTTCCACTGAACTCTGTAGTAATGGGGGATGCTTATAAAACTAAGTCTGAATTCTCAGCTAAGTGAAGCATTTGGGATTTATTTCAGTCCCACTGAAATCAGTGGGAGATAAAAAGAACTTTAAACAAACATTTGGGTGCTTTGCCAAATGCAGTTAAAATGCTGAACATAGGTCTCAACAAGAAACTGTTTTCTATTTCTTACCGTGATAACGTATTTTGACACACTGTTATGGTACCAAGTCAGCCATATCATCTTTAACACATTACAACCAAGAGAGAAGCCAGCCTGCTGCACTAAAATTCACAAATAAGGAAATACTCATCTTTGAGTGGTATTTCTGAAAATCAGCGACACCCATTTTTACATGAAAAGTACAATGCCTCTGTGCCCCAAGAAGTCTTTCACTTGTGTGTCTGCAGGGAAGCTCAGGCCAGGAGTTGGGCAGCCAGGTGCACAGACTCCAGACAGATGTTCTGCCCATTCCATGTGAGGCAGAATTCCATGTGAGAGGCCCTTTAGGTGCCCTTGTGTGTGAGCATGCCTGAGGAGTAGAGGAGCTCATTGTGGCACCACAAGATCTCCTGCAGACTGCTGTGGCTTTGTCCAGAAGGTTTGTAAAGCCACGGCTATCTTCCCCCAGATAGATCCTTTTGGTGTTTGCTTTTTACTATTTTTAGTCTACGGTTTCACTTTTACAAATCTTGGATTTTGTTCTGCATTGCATCCTTACAGCTACAGGACTGAATATTTTCTTGCTGTTCCTGCAGTTTCTTTTGTCTTTGCAAATTTTGGAATTTATTTGAATTGTTCCTTAGAGTGTTTGTGGTAATAAATCTTTGTCTAGTTGATAGTTACTCCCCTCAAATTCAGATACCAAAGCAGCAGCTGTTCTAGAAATCTCTGAATGTAGTGTTGTGATTGTCACGTATTTGTGGAATTCATAGAACCACAGAATGGTTTGTGTTGGAGAGAGTCTTAAAGATCATCTGGTTCCACCTCCTCTGCCATGGGCAGGGACACCTTCCACTAGACCAGGTTGCTCCAAGCTCCATCCAGCCTGGCCTTGAACTCTTCCAGGGATGGGGCATCCACATCTCTCTGGGAAACCTGTTCCAGTGCCTCACCACCCCCACAGTAAAGAATTTCTTCCTAATATCCAATCTGAGCCTATCCTCTGTCAGTTTAAAGCCATTTCCCCTTGTCCTATCCCTGCTTGTCCTACTGCTTGTTATTTGGCAGAAGAGCCCCCAACTCCCACCTGGCTGTAGCCTCCTTTCAGGTAGCTGTGGGCACTCATCAGGTTTCCCGGCTAAACATTCCTGGTCCCTTCAGCTCCTCAGCACGGGACTTGAGCTCCAGACCCTTCCCAGCTTCACTGCCCTTCCCTGGATATGCTCCAGCACCTCAGTTCTCCAGTCTCTGCTTTGGCCACCTCCATCTCTGCCCAGGCAGCCCTGGGAGGGTTCCAGGGGGAAGGGAAGGGAAGGGAAGGGAAGGGAAGGGAAGGGAAGGGAAGGGAAGGGAAGGGAAGG